TTATAATACATTGACATCATATAACTATAACATTACTATTTTAAAAATCGAAAAATGATTCAATGATGTACACATAATAAATTCAACTTGTGTAAAATAAATGTAAAATAATAGTTTGAAATGTATTGGAAATCGTATAAAGAGTTGACGATATTATAATATTACGACTAATATAATCATTGGATTAAAATAGATAATAATAAATAATTCATGATATATTTAGTATTTATGCCTATGAAGCTATATTTAACTAAATTACATATAAATATTTTTTATCAAAATTTAGAAAGTCTTAAAATAAAAAGGAAGTTTCAATTAAGATTATGTCAACTTATTTTTAGATTTATTTGTATAAGCCTTTGGGTATAAATTGTATAGTACTTTTTATTACCCGAGTTGTTATATAGGCATTCTGGTTAATAATCAAATGGAAATTAGGTGTAAAAATTAAATTTTTAAAATATATGACCCATAGATTAGCGCATGTTCAGGAGGAGGGTAGGTGTCAAGTTTATCTGGATGAGTTGTATAACATATTTTGAAAATGCAACAATATCCGTGTGCTGGCCGATAGGATTTGTTTTATAAAACAGACACAAGTCGTTTGTTGCGAACGAAATGTGTTGATTAATGTCATTCGACTTATTGATTCTTCTTTGCTATCTTTGCGGTCGACAATGAACTCCGGGACTGCGATTGTATTGCTGGTGCTCGTGTGTGGCGCCCTGTGTTTGGCGGAACCCAATGACGTCAATGACGAGACGGTGTTCGGTAATTGTCCCAAGGTAATGGTCAAAGCTCCAAAGGACATTGAAGACCTTTTGGGGAAAATCAAAAGCGTACCGTTGGATCTAATGTCCAGGCACAACAAGCCAGACCTGTTCGGCGAGAAGGAGCTGACGAGACTGGATCTGTCGGGCGACGATTTCGGACCGGGACACGACACGGGTTTGAGCTCCGCACTGGGATACAGTTCTGGATTGCCCGACGGTTCTGGATTGGGATTGCCTTCGCCCGTCGTGCCGTTTTCCTCCGGGGAAAGGTGCACCGTCCATCGACACGTCCGACCGGTTTTCGCCCCGTTCCTGATGCAATGGATGCAAAGAAACTTAGCCTTGCCAGTGCCGTCTCCAAACCTTTACCGTACCATCAGGTCTGCTGTCCTGCGCCCGGTCGCCGCTCCCTACCCGGTGCCATACCCGTACCAGAAGCTACAGCGATCGTCGTCCGTCCCTGCCGCCGCTCCAGTCCAATTAATTTTCAATTTTGCCTAAGTGACATTTTGTATTTGTTCTATAATATCGCCAAGCGGGTGCATCCGCTATTGTAAAACCTACAAGTTGAATATTGTACGTGTGCGATTATTATATTCTGAACCGTTCTCCGTCACATAATTTATATATCTTCTATAAAATAATGCTTATATTCATCGTTTACGTTTCATTACACGAGAAATTCCTGCAACGAATGGTAATATTTTACTAACAGAGAATGGATTTTCAAGGTTGCCACAAACACTCAATGACTGCCTTTCCTTTATGCTTTATTAGTTGTCATTGCGAATGCAAGCCGCACCGGGAACTGGGATGCGTTGTATCGAAACGTCTTCTCCTTTGTACTTATCTTTAAAAATTACTCCTTCAATTGAAACTGAGATTGTGAGGCGGCAATCTGTGGCAATTCTAGCAAATTTGGTTGGATAGTTGACGACATAGTCTTGGCTTATAACGGAATCCACTGATTTAAATTCAATTCGTCGACATCAATGTTTTTCGCAGGCAATATGGCACATAAATTATGAATAAATATGATCAGCAGTAAAACTATTCGAATGTCAATATGTCAGCTGTGATGTTTGCGCACGTAGCGCCATTTATTGGAATAAACGTTCACTAAAATTTCACTAAGACTTCTAAATACTCAGAACGTTGCTGCAGCTTTTTAGAGCTTTCTAGCCGTATATAGTCTAGCTTTGGTTTTCTTTGAGAACAATTTTGATTTTAAGAACTTACTTAAGGCAAATGACGCTCTTTCAGCCTTTGTTATCCTGACTCCAATTTCCCTTGACCAATCATTTTTAGTACTCAATACAGCTCCTAAGTACCGACAATCATCAACATTTTCGAAAGTTAGGGACCCCGTATCAGGGTTGTCTCCGTTATCTAGCAACTCCATTATTTTGATTTTTTCAACATTGATTTTCAACCCTATCTTGCTGGCTGCTTGCTCGAGGGTTTGGGCTGCTTTTTTCGTATTCTCCATGGAGTTTCCTAATATATTTAAATCGTCTGCAAAACCGAATACTTGTATATGTTGTTGACCGATCGCTACTCCAGCGATCCTGGAGTTCTATTTGAGTATCACTTATGATACTTTAGTAAATTAAAAACACTTATTTTCTTTGAAATTAATTTCAGTTTTTTGTAGTTATTCTCTTTTTATAGAAAATAAATAATTGTATAATATGTTATTTCACAATACCTATTCGTTTTTTTTTTTTTTTGATAAATTCTAGGTCTCTACAAACTTTTAAAACATTTTATACTAAGATTAATTCACTACCAATTTTGATAGGTCGATACACAGTTTTCTATAGTTATTTATATGTTATAGTGAATGGTTGAGTGAAGTATTATTTTCATCAGCTCTCATTACTCAACCATAATCTAGTTCCTTTAAACAAGTACATTCTCTATTATTCCGGTTTCCGGTGAAATGTTGTACTTGTAATTTTTAAATACTTATAATTAAGTTAAGATGAATACCGATTTACTATTCATTATTATTATGTATGTGATGGACTTATTTGTAATCTTCTTCGTAGGCTTGGCCTTTCTAATAAACATGTTGAGTCATAATGGGGCGAATCTTGTAAGTTATTAGTTTTTCATAGCTTGGCGCTACATAAAAAATGTGGTTAATTTTTAGTCAATTATTTTTTTCTTTTATTGAAAAGTGCTTTTTTAAACATTAGACATTCAAAATTGCCATCATAAACATATAAAAATAAAAATATGACAAATTTAGCTGCTGCATCATTTGTTAGTGGGAAACCAACAAACAAATAAGTATAGTACCTATGTCTGAAACAATTAAAGTTGTAAAAAAATAATGTATTCAATTTAATATGATGTTATAACTTTTTTTATCAGTTATTTTAGGTTGATAGTGTAGCATAATATAAATATAAATAAAATAATAGTGTTCTTCTAAACCAAAATTCATTAGATATATTTTAAAAATGCCAACTCTGGAGTCAAGTTTTATTAATTGTATATAATGTGTGTACAGTGGTGAACACTTCACACAAGATATTACTGAATGAAAAAATGTTTTTTTCCATAGTTTTTGATTTTTTAAATCAATGAAATGATTGCATATACCTATATTTGTTAACCGTTGAAGTTAATATCAAAATAAACAAAAAAAAAAGGTTTGTTCACATATGTGCAAAAGTCATCTATGTATTATCAACGATTTCCAGTATTATAATTTTATATGAATTCTATATTCATTTTTTTTTTTTAATTAATTAAAAAAAACATGCAATATATTTATAAATTGTATACTCATAAACCTGACCTAAGTTATATGGGATAACAAACATCTAATATATGTTTATTAAGTTCATATAAAAGGAACAATAGCCCAATTAGCCAAAGCATAATCTGAAACCTAACCAATAGAAGTATCGAATTTAGTAGTTTTAATTATATTATATATTTAAATTCAATTATTGTACATTTTACAAAAAAAATGTTGTGTGTATCTAAATTGTACATATTTATTTAGTTCCAAGTATGGCTCTTTAGCATGTAAATAAGATAATAATAATTGCAACTTGTGCGGCCTTAAATGATGAATTTTATTTAAGCTCAATGAAAAAACAAAATCATCGTTGCTGCCTGCATTTGACAATAACGGTAGATAGGGCTGTACATTATCATTACCTATTGTGACTATAGAGTGATCTGCGGCCGTTATTGTTACTATACAATATACATTATTATCGTGCTGTGCATCACGTGTGTGTACATCTCGGGCACTATTGAAAATGAACCGTTATTGTTCGGGGGCTGAAAGATTGTCATCTTGGTAATTAAACTCTTATTCAACGACCATTGTTCCGTTTATGTGTATCGGTTACTGCGGTAGAAAAGGGGAAGCCGCCGACAATTCCTATACACTTTGTGTACACCGTACTCTATAATATACCTATATTATAAAACCACCGTGTCCCCGTCAGCAGGGGGGGGGGCCCTCTTAGAGAGGCCATCAAAACCCAAAATGGTAGCAAAAAACTAGAAACCCATATTTACAGAAATGTAATCATTTTTTTCCCCCATAATTTTATAGTTATTAGTTGGGACAAATTAAATATATTTTTGAAAAATATAACCCCATCACTTGTATTATGTTAAAACCGTATGAACTTGATAATTTTAAATGGTAACGTATATATTTTGTTAACTTTTTAAATTAAGGAAAATTTGCTGAACATTTTTTTGACTGGTCGATAACCAGTTTTGGATAATTAGTTTTCAAGTTATTCAATTTTAAAAGTTAGTAGGGGCAGAGCGGTTGATTAATGTGAGCAGATAAAAACATCTCTACTCTCCACCCTTACTAAATAATAAACTTTAATAGCTTTGAAACTCGAGTTTATAAGATTTTAACATATAAGGGACGGGGTTATAATTAAAATTGTTTTATTAAATTTGTCCCAACTAATAGCTTATATAAAATTATAAACAAAATAATTTAAAAAAGTCTAATATCTTCTGAGTTATTGACTGGTCCATAGTTAACCAATCACCCAGTATACATTGCATAATATATAAATGACAAAGACATAATATCCCTTGCATTATGGATAGCCTGTCTATCAATAAATCACATGAGACGCTAATTAAAAAAAAAAAAAAATTAAGTTTTCTAAATAAAAAATGTGTTTTGGAGGAAAATTTATAAAATCAAACAACACACCATTAATTGTTCATAGAATGCTATTTATGTTAAATATTACATTGTAATAATATATTGATAGTTTTAAGGTTTAGTGCCAGTAACAAAATATGATAAACGGCCACTTACTTATTACTTGACGTAGACGTAAGCGTTTTGGTCATGAATATACAAGTGAGTCTATCGACAGACTACAACGGACTTAAATCGTTAACATATGTCACGGTAATAGATACAAAGTATGCCTAGTAAGTATAACAAAACAACAAATTAAATTAAATCACAAAATTGCTAAATCATAACTAAAATTGTAGCGTTAATTAATTATCGTTACTTTGGTTTTATATTATCGACATTACTCTAAATATATCGCTAACGGATGAAATAATATAACAAATGTCTCTTTTGATGTCTGTTTAAATAATTTAAATGGGTAATTTTATTTTTGGAATATTTGAACTTAAATTAGTATTTTAGTAGTACAAAAGACAAAGTTTAACTCACACGTTAAATTATTTAAACAACCAGTCTTATAAAAAAAAAAAAATAATAGTAATAATAATAACGAACAACTCATTTTCTGAATTTTTTGAACAACGGATGTTTGACGCCAGAGTTTCTCCTGAACTCAGCGTAAACAGCGTCGTCCGCGCCAGACATGGAACTCATTTTGCCGGACATTTTCTTATAGTTTTTAGAAGAAGTGCCGCCTTCGTAAGGCATACGTTCCTCGTCGGCGTCCGTATCGTTGGCAGCCAACACTTTACTCAACAACAGACCTTGATCTTCTCTACTGCCATAGAACAGTTCCGGATCCTAAATAAAGTTTACGAGATGTTATTATAACAATACATATTAAATGTAATGAATACAATTGTCAAGTATAAATCACGGCCATAGAAGATGAGTTTGGCTGACTCAACCCCACCTTCCTTCCCTCCTAATGGTTTAAACGTTTTTATATATATGAATAATAAACAACGTCAAAAACTACTAAAAATTAAGGAAATTAAAAAATATTGATTGTTTTTATACAAATGAAAATAATTATGTCATATTGAAATATTATACTTATTTATTTTTGGTACAAAATGAAGTTTAAACAGTTTCTGGAGATTATGATGTTTTTATTTTAAAAAGTACTTGTTTTTAATTTCTTCACAAGTCAAAAAATGAAAAAAGTTATTTACTCCCTAATAAGCGGACAACTGATAACGGTGGATAATCGACCTTCTATGGCCGTGGTACAATAGACATGATATTAATTTTATTACTTCCTCCATTCCGGCAAGTTTGGTTACCACTTTGTAACTGTAACCTTGATCGATGAGAAACCGTTGTCGTTTTCTCGAATAACTCATTTCCATTGTATCTTGCGACACCAACGTGTAGAAGAATGCGTTGTACTCTTCGGCGATGGCAGTCTTTTTGGCACGCAAGATACGACCGAGACGTTGAGCTTCTTGTCGACGACTACCGCCGTGAGACGATATTTGTATGAGTACGTTGGCGTCGGGCAAATCGAATGACGTGTCGGCCACTTTACTGACAAATATGGTATTGACTTTTGGATTTAGCTTGAAATTTTGCAGAATTTGAATTCTTTCGGCCTAAAAATATTGTTACACACAAGTGTTATCGGACAAAAAGGTTACATCGGTTGCATAAGTGTGGCAAAGCGCTCTAAGAGTTTATCAATCGATAATGATGGTCACGCTAGACCGATTTCCTGTTGATTTTTTCTTAAATTAAAGACAAAATTAGAATTTGTTTAAAACATGAATTTTTTTTTGGAAAAAAAATGTATTTATATTATAAGTTATATAAATCTGTTTTTAAATTATTTTTATTATGCTGTTAGTTATGATGCATGTAAATTATTATAGACACACAATCAACCCCCATCGTATCCACCCTACTACTACTAGGATCTGGAACCTTTTAAAAAACAACTGTCCCAACACTGGGCAGAATAAAAAATTGCAAATTCCCATATAACTGCAAACAAAAACGCTATTTTCCCACAAAATTAGCTCTTATGGGTTCCGCATAATTATTTTAATGAATGTGTAATTGACAGCGTCTAAAAAATATATATTTTCTTATCCCTCCTCCTATTTCCAATCACTAGAAGCCTGTTCAAGAAATCACTAAAATTTTGGATACCTAGTTTAACCATAAGTACTTCTTTGTGAAAAAAATTGTCATAGACTTATTACATTACCTGCGACGTAGGCCCATAAATAAACGGTTTGCTCAGTTTCAATGCGTATTCTTTGAGGGCGAACACGTTGTCCGAGAAAACAATAGTTTTATCACCGCGTTGTTCGTGATAGCGAATCAAAAATTGACAAGCCCGGAATTTGTTAGGGTTCATCACAAAGAAAAGCTAAAAAATTCAATACAAAACAACAATTGTAATTTTTTTTATAAATTATTACATAACGTCATCGGCACAGAAAAACATCCCATGAGCCGAATTTATGATTTTGAGGTTTTGGTACTGGTGTTTAAAATTCATTTCAATAGCTCATTGGAAATTTCTGCTTTTAATGTTTTCAATGTCTGTGTTTCTTGAAAAATCAAGTCCTATCGCATGGGAGGTTTTTCTGTGTCATCAGCGATAAACGGTTAAATCACCATTTTCTTGCTCGTTCTCGTGGCCAAGTACTCCCGATAGAATTCCGGAGCCATGGGACACCACACTTCCGAGCACTGCACTTTGGCGATGTAACCTCTCTGTTGCAGTTCCAGCCAGTTGGCTTCGTACAATTTAGGACCGATTAAAAAGTTCAAGTCGGCTATTTTATCGTCTTCTCGCAACAAGGTGGCGGTCAAACCCAATTTGCAATGCGCTTTCACCAACGTCAACACGCGTCGGAACATTTTCGCCGGTATCGTGTGTACCTCTGCAACGTAAAATAATTGTTAAATAAATAACAAATATAATAACAAGAAAATAAACCAATTGTTTTAAGTGGACAAAAGAGAAATCTAGTCTTAGACTTTATCGGTATTTACTAAGTGCTTTACTGACTACAAACACATTTTAGTAGCCTAAAGGTGTCTGGTACAATAATGAGAACCGTGTGCATTTACTCTCCGTCCTATCGGACATTCTCGCTAAGCAGGAAACTGTGTAGAAAGAGTAAAACAAACTTCCAGAGGCGACCGAGCTAGACCTTAAAGCACCCCAAGTCCAGTTAAGAAAGCCAAACTAATAACAATAAATCAAGTATTATAAAATATTAGCTTGGGATTAGCCGACAATTTTTTTTTTTTTTTAATTTACTTTTATACTATCAAGAACAATTAAGACCACCCTAATATTCATCAAGTTTAACAGAGATATCTTCACTTCGAGATATATTATTTTACTGAGCTATTTAACTAAAAGGTGACTTAAGTGGTCCGTTCACACACACGTTAAGTTGGTAAATTATTAAAGCAGTGAGAACAAGGCTTTACTCACCGTCCAGCACCATTATACCCCATTCTTGATCTTGCAACCATTTCATAGTCTGCTCGCCTTCCCACGATCGTTTCTGAGTGTGCGTGATCATCGAGTAAGTAGTTATGAAAACACCACACCCCATTAGTTTGTCTTTGACGTCCGATGTAAATCTGCATACTAAACTATCGTCGGCTGTAAAAAAAAAAATATATACATATATATTTATATAAGGAGGTTCTACGATTAAAATTATTTTATAGGATTTAAATACTAAAAATAAAACCGAGCCACATGGTTTTATCATCCCTTCGCACAGTGGTCGGAACATAATTTCAAATACGACCCAAGAGACTAAATAATTGACAACTATAATATTTTGTTTACTAAAAATAATATGATGCTGAAGATAAAATTAAGTATTACAGACCTTGTCAAATTCCCAGATATCTATAAAATGTACCCATATAAAACTAATGGTAAACAATTATCGCTGTGCATAGTTGACTATAACACACAGCACTGGGTGTTTACGTTTTTTAATAAAATGATAACAGTCCTTATCGTTAAGTATTTTATAATATCAAATATACTTTGGTGAAGAAATATGTGTTATTATGGATTGCTAAATATCACCTTAAACCATGCGCCGTAAATATTTTCATTCTAAAACGTGTGGCGCAAACATAGGCTTTATTAAATATAAACTATCTAAACAAAATAGTATTATAAATAAGTAAATCATTTTTTTTTCTCAAGTTAATGAAGTGTTTTTAATAAATACAATTTATTTTATTCGGATGGTTGTTAGATATAGAAATGTTTTTAATAATAATTAAAAAAAAAATCATTAAGTGGGTGAAAATATTATAAATGTCCAATGTAGGTTAATTTTTTAATTTCTAATACAAAGTTTTAACATAATGGTAAAATTAAATAGTGAACAAAACTTTAGATAACTACTTTAACTGTTATAACACGCATAATCTTTTTTGGAGAAAAAAAAATATAAAAAAATTGATTGTCAGTAACTTGTCGTTAAATTTTGAACATTAGTTGTATTTTTTGTTTTTATCAAATTAAAAAACGCCAATGTCGCGTTTAGCTTATTGTTTTTAAGTCTTTTAACGTCATTCAAACAGTGTTTAAGCTACATTTAGAAATAGTTTACCATCATAACTGTACAAGTTATTGTAAAGCATGACTGGCGCAAGACTTAGGCAACATATTGTACATGTTACTGTATTGCAAACTGAAAATGTTTATAAATTAATAACTGAACAAAAGGCAAAATTGGAGTTTCCTAGATTGAAATATTGTCTTGTTGCATTAATTTTTTTGATATTTATTGATTTCAATGTAAGTATTGATTGAATTTGTTTTTATTGTTAATGGCTTTGGTGAAATAATTGTTTAAGTCGATGCCATTGTCACTGTCTATAGACTACGAACTAATTGTGTAATAATGAAATAAAAATGTATACCCGTTGACCACATTTTAAATTGATACTTCCACTGTTCTACGGAAACTGCAGAATTGCAAAGAACTAACGCTCGCTTACGAACAGTACAACAAGCCGTAACGCCAACCAAACTTTTTCCAGCACCTTAAGAAAAAAAAATACATTAGGTAACAACAAGTATACTTGATTGCCTATTGATTGAAATTTGTATAATAAGGATTCTTCCGTTAAAATAAAATTCTAAAAATTACTATTAATCTTACCACAAGGCAACACAATGATTCCCGATCGCGCACGGCTGTTGCCGAACATTTTCCGTAAGCTTTTTTCCTGATACGGCCTTAGCGTCGCTTGTGGTTTTAAATCAATACTGTAAACGAAACAATTTCAATTTAATGTATTATTACCTGTAGAAAAAAAAGTGGCATTTTCATGTATTTAAATCGCTCACTTAATGTCTTTGTTGACTTTGTCGTTTTTGAAATCGTACTCAACAAGTAAAGGCGTGTCGATATCTATGCACCGTTTTTGTATTATTTCGATTTTCTCTTGTCGTACTTCGAACGAAACAAAATTTTGTGTTTTTTCTTCTTCCTCTTCTTCGACCTTGTCGATTTTCTCGTACAGGTCCGTGATGTCTTTCGGCACCACTTCGCTCGTTGCACTTTCATCTTTATACTTTGACGACGACTCTCCCGGGAACTAAACCGACGAAAAAAAACAATAACAAACTTATTCAATCGTTTCACCGGTAACAAGACGGAAGGTTATATTATTATTACGTGTGCCGTTTTCAAGTTCTTTTCTTCTCTAATGAGTTCGTCGGTTTCCTCGAGACGTTTAAGACGACAAGAACCGATGACCGGATCCTTGAGCAACTTTTGTAATATCTCCGGATGTTGCGACTCGATGAAATAACGATTGTGTTTCAACACCAGTTTGACCTTGCCGTAGGATAACGTACAAATATTAATAAACTCTACAATGCCGTCGGGTATACTGGTTTTGCTTAAACGTTTCAAGTATTCGATAATGTCTTTGGTCTCGAGTCCAACACTCACGGCGGCGTACAAGGAATACGCTGTCAATTTATACTGGAAAAAGATTTATATTTTTATATATAAATTAAATATATATTAGTCGTCGGTGTGGTTACCTCGTGCAAGTGTGTTGGTCTACAGACGGGTTCGGCGATGGCGATCATGAAATCATGAGCATGTCGATACACCGGAGAATACGATTCCAAAAATATATGACCGTCGGGGGCAACCCATAATGGACGAGACGGGTGATCGGGTTTTAGATTCATTTGCGACCGATAATCTTTGGCGCCAAATTCGTCTTCAACGGTGTTGATTTCATTTTCTGCGTTTTTCTTTGCCGCACTGGGAAGACCTTCTATAAGAATTAAAAAATAAATATTATTATCATTAGAATTGGGATTCAAAATAAAAAGTCTTTAGGAATTAATAAAAAAAAACACATTAAATATATATTTCTTATGTGTAAATAATATATAAAAATAAAAGACTTTAGACAGTAAACCATTCCATGGACAAATTTTTTTTTTTTTGCAGATAAATAGAAGAAAATAATCAACCCAGTGATTTCTTTTTAAAAATATTATTTTGTTTATGTTATTTTCAAATTGTTGTATAAAATTAATCTCAATATTTATATTTTTTTAGAGCCAAGTTAAATAGTAATGTACCTATGTCTTTTATAAACTTTTTATGTTTATAAAGCTTTTACGTTGAACAAATAGTTGTATTAAATAAATAAAACAGTAATCAAACAAATTATATCTTAAATGGAAATGGACTTTTTAAGTTTATACCGAAAATGTCGACCGAGAATGTTAAAGTGAATATAAATAATATAATAATTTTTTTTTAGACGTACCCTCTTCGTTGACTGCCGACAGAACTGGATCGTCTAAGCCAAGCGAATTTTCATCAAACTCGTCCTTCTTTCGTTTTCTGCCTCTTTTTTCTATAAACACATAACGGTAATTATTAACGAGTAAAAAAGTGTTTTAAAAAAACTTTTCATGTGACATGTTATACAAACTTAAAAAATTAAGCACAAACACATATTTACAATATTCTACACAATTGCTTAAATTAAACTAACTTAAGAGACACACTTTTAAACTTTTTTACGTTTAAAAAAGTTTTGGTAAATAAACATGAAAGGAGTATTAAACACTACTCCATTCTATGTTAAACCACTTATGTATTATTTTAAGCACTAACTTATAATAAAAACCACAAGGCAGTTCACACCTTAACTGTTAAACTTAGCATTATAGACAATATAATTTTATTTAGTGGAAATTTTTTTGTTTGAAATAATATATAAATATAAGTATTATTTAAATCTGTTAATTATAAGAACTTGTAAAATAAATAATATTTAATTATGCAAACTGATATAGTCAACCTTATAGATATATAATTAATGCAGGAATGATTTTATAAAAGAAACAATAATAGTACTACATACTATTTAGTATCAGTTTATTGATTTTTCATGAATTTTATTATTGAATTAACAATCGAATGAATAACAAGGGGAAAAAATTGAATTACTGGAGATAACAGATTTCAGAGTTGTCTAATCTCCCAACAATAAATTTAATAATTATAACGTAATGTAATTTTTTTTATAACAGTCATCCAAGCATAAGCTATTTAATATAATTAAAAAAACCAAAAAAAAATGAAAACATCTTTAAAATCCTTACTAGCTTTGAGTTTCAGACATGCATTTAATCTGTAAATGTGGTAAAACAATAACCATGGAAAAAAGCCACAAAATAAAAATAAAACACTATAGAAAAAACCAATGTAGTGAAAAAAAACCATGAAAAATAAAGACTTCAATCAAAAATAAACCAATTTAAATTCAAAAATCAATAATCTGCGTATGCCCAATCAATCTAACAACTGTGCAATAGTAGTCATTGTAGCTTCTTTCACCTGTTGGTTGGCATTGTTCATCTAAAATTACAAAATTAAATATATAAATAAAATCTGCTTTTTCATACTGTTAAAAATTGTTTATATTGTGTAAAACTTCGCTTATAATACCTGAAATTAAATCGTTTGTCGTAGAATTAAGTTTTGTCTTGGTTTGTTCGACTATTAGTGACGGTCCTTGAGTAAACGATTCTACCGGATTTATCGCGCTATTCCTAGCTTGGTTTTTAATCTCTGCCTTTTTTACAACTTTGTCGACCTCCCGTTGGTCAGGTTTATGCGATAATCTGTGTGGTATTACAATCCTAGGCGACGTGTTATCCAACGAAGTATGGATGATCCCTGTACGATAGGTACATGCATATTCCATTAACAAAAGCGTCCTACATCATAATTTGTTATCGAAATACACTTTCTTACAAACCTGGGCAATTTATACTCGACGACTTTGAACATCTCCAAGTCAAAAACGTTTTACCTGTGTGCTTAAGCACATACATATGTCCCATCCAACAAAATTTCGTACACCCTTTGTTGGAACTTATCAACTGTGGTTCACTCATTATAACAACTAAACTCGTTACACTCTTAATAAGATTGAATTTTTTGGCCAAAATTTAATTCAATTACAAGGTATTTCCATTGACCAAACTTTATTCAAGTAATAACAATCAATAATTAGTAATAAAAAAAAAAAGATACATATAATATTATAAAAATACTTCAAAGAGATTACACTTTATATTATATTTTACACAAACTTTTTCGTTTAAGAATGATTAATTTGTCTTTTTTCCATGGCTTTTTTTTAAATTACGAGCTTACCATTTAAGTTTTATTGATCAGCATCTATGTGGTAAGCTATTTTCATAAGATTAATGATACTATATTAATAATATTATTTTTATTACTTAAACGACAATGTTGTTGTGTTAATAAATAAGTAAAATTGTCACTATTTTTTTATCATATACCTTCTTGTATAATAATGTGGTCGGTCAATCAATTTGTAAGTCGCTCTACATTTCTTTATTTCTAACTTGTTCTCTACTACCCATACTTTTTATTACATCTACTCCACACATTCTGCTTATTTATACCATCTGCCCACTTCGTTGTTTTTGGTTAAGTTACCATCTTTGTGTGTTCCCATAAAACATTTTTTTGTCGTTACTTTTTAACACTGTCAACACAGTTAGAACCAGTTGTTTACCAATTTTCACCAGCTGGTTCAAGTTTTTTTATCGATGCCCCTCGCCTCCTTATATCATACGTTTAACTATTCTACTGTAAATATTTCATATTATAAGAAATAGATGAACAATCACAAGAATATCGAAACTAATATTTTACGGAAATCTGTTTTGCCGTGTAGTAACAATCAAACCCAATACCTCTAGAAACCAAGTCTGCTTTTTACCACTGCGTCACATTATTCAAAACCTTTCTTCAAGATGAAGTGCACGCCTAACGGCATTAATATTTCAACATTTCATTTGAGTAACTTCCATTTTCCTTTAATCTTTCTCATTCAAAGGCTGACAGTCACTCACTTACGCCATTAACATTTACCCCAATAGGTAACGTTGTCTTTCTGTCGCACACAACAATGCCTCAATCTGTCTTGTCCGACCGCCATTTCCTTCATTTCACTCACCGGGGAATTTTGGCGAAAATGATCATTAACACTTTTCGCTATGACCAACGGAATTCGTTGGTTTCAAAATAGATTTTTATACGGTCCGAAGTGTATGCAAAGCTATTCGAAAAAATATACATTATAACGAGAACACGACAAAACGGTTTGCGATTAATCCTGAACAACGAGAAAACAACACAATAAGGTTAGGCGGTTAAAATCAGCATTGAACGTACTCAATGTTACCGACAAACTGTTATAGTGTAACGAAAAACGACTTTAACTTACCCGGATTTTCTTTTTTTGTTTTACCCATGGCTGAAATTTGAAAACAAGGGCCCGGCCGAACAGCGGACTATAGAAGTGAATAATATTTTGTTATGGTACGGTCACTGTTATCAATTGAACGGCACATTGTTGATAAAACTGTAATCAATAAAACGGAACCGACCAAAGGGGACAATTCGATTGCTCCACGCACATTAATTGCGCCTAATATACCATTACATCGAATAAACCATTACACCGAATACACCATTACACCGAAAATGCCAAATGGAAAAAAATTACACCTAACAAGTTTTTTTATACATTATAATATATGAAAACTAAGTACTACTAATACACACATATGGAAAAATATTTAATAATATTAAATAATATTTAATTATTATTTATTATTGTGTTTAATTAAACTTCTAATTGTATTTAATTAAAATACATTTAAGTAAATGTAGGTACCTATTTCATTTTATTGTCGGGTACCTATCCAATACTTTCATAATTTTATGATGTATTGTTTTAAATAGATGGTATAATATATCGGTATTAAATACTTTAAAAAATATATATATAATTTCATTGAAATTTTATCAATGAAAATACTGTTTTACTTTTTATAAAACGTGTATGTATGTTTTGAAAAACATTTTTCCTTTACAAACTCAAGAGACAATATTTACTATTGATAAACTATCATGTAATAATATAATAATATCAAGAAATATAAATTGAAAAAAATTGACAACATACTTAAGTATAATGTTAATAATAGTTATTACTTATTAGGTGTGTTGGAGAGTGAAAATGATTTTCAGAAAATCCCTCACAGATCTGCATCTAAATTAAAGAAATTTTGACTAGCTATTGTAAAATCAATAACTTTTCAATTCCTCTTTTTTAAGCTATACCTAATATGTGTTAAATATAAAAAAAAATCACAGTTTATAATAATATTACAAATAATAATAGCCTCGATTGAGGATAACTAATTAAGGTTATAACTAACTGAATTAATGATACATTTAAAAAATATAATAATATTTGTATTCCTGTTATAAGCTCTAAGCAAAACAGTTAATAGCCGTTAGGTCTTTTCAGAGTTGCAACTTGCAACTAGGGTTTTATTCCCTATATACGTTTGCATATTATTTTAATAGTACAAATTATGCATTATTACACAATTATGAAAAAAAAAAATTAAAACTAGAAATTAAAATAAAATTTAGTAGACACTTTTAGTAAACAAAATTCGTTATCTGGTATTAATATCATATTACCATTTTTCCATGGGATACCTAACAAATCTCTTTTTTAACGATATCGCCCCTCGGTCCTCTCTCTCTCTACATCGGTCCATTTATTTATAGGTCTATGTAAATAAATGAATGATTAGAAAAATAAAAAACAAGGGAAAAGTGAGTATGCCTAAATTTTTAAACTCGCATGATCCAAAAAATGAGAAAATAACTTTGCAACACTGCCTTATAGGATTTTTGAAGCTTACTCCGAATGTTTTACCAGTTTGTTTCAAAACCGGTCTAGATTCAGCCTTGAAAGTTTTGCTTAGTAATTTAAATGAATTTAAATTGGGTTTTTGCGTTTTTTGAAAAATATTATTTTTTAATTATGTGAGTTTTGATTCTAGCCTACTCCTCGTTTGTAATGTTAACCCACTCGTGGGAGGCTTCACTCATAAATTTTAAAATACAATGATTTTATTCAATATATTTTAAAGGTACTTAACATTTTGATGAAAAACAAATGATAGAACTGTTTGTCCATCTTTAGGTTATATAGTATAATGTCAAATGGTCAACAATATTCTGTTCTTTTAAGGAAAATCAAATAGGTACCTAATATATTATACTGGTGGTATCTACAATTAAAATTATTTTAACCCTTTAAATGTAATAATAACGATAGGACAATCACCTTACATTTTGTATTTTCCAAGACAAGATAACTCGTAGATATTAAAAATATATAATATTTAGGTATCTGGAAAAAAAACTAAAACAATAAAAATGATACAAGTAGGTAATTAATAAAAAGAGTAGGAGGACTAAAATCCGGATTTTCATATTTAATCCAAAGTGTAAAATTAAAAACAAATTGTTTATTTATAAAACAATAATTTGATTATTTTATTTTGAATAAAAATCTAAAAATCTGGATGATTATTGTCAAATCGTAGTTCATAAATTTAGAAATAAAAACAATAGCTAGTTTTACAAAATAGTGTACTTACATACTTAAATCACTTACTAAACTATTAAACTCTCATAAAAGTACTAACTATAATATACCCACTGTAAATAGGTACCTAGTTTCTTCTAACTATACCTTCTATGTATACTTGTAATTTTTGTATAATTTAAAAATCCGTTCTACACAACGAAAGTTTCAACTTTTAATGTGTAAAACCCCAAATTGTATTTTACTAAACAAGTATATAATAGCTGGAAATGTTTTTATCATTGTCTGCTATACTTTTATGATTCTATTCTAATAATTACGATTAGGTAACGGCAATAAGTAATTTGTCGATAGTATAATATGATTAATCAATCAATTTACTGCCTATAATAACAGTTTATAACCGTTATAAAGATAAACCGTTTGCATTTAACAAGGAATACCTAGAAAAACGCGGCTTTAGCATAATAATATAATAGTTCTCTTCGTGTAGCTAAAACATAATATACATATTATATTCTTTTGCTAAAGGTTAAACTCGTAGTACATTGTCTTATCTGCTTCGCATTATTTTTCACATTGTTATGTTACTATAAATTACCATTTTATATTATATGGAACCTAATACTAACGTTATACAGGTGCCTAATTACCATAAAACAATAAAGCCAGCAATTAGATTATGAAAGGTGATTTTTTAATTTTTTTAATTTTACTACATTTCACTTTTATTACTTGATAAAAAAACAGTCGCTTTCATAAAATAACAATTTAAGGAATTAAAAATACCTAATATATGAATAATTTTGTGGTACTATATTATAAGAGTAAAAAATAATTATTATAGTTTGTAGAGTAAATTTTAAAACTTTAATAGATTATTAAACAGCTAAATATAACATTTGAATCTAAAAATAAAAACTATAACTAGGTAAGTATGTTAATTTGTTTTATTTGAGCATACTTTTTAACAACAACTTAATGACTTGTAGAGCAAAAAAACAATTTTAAGTGCCAAATTTGTTTGAACTATTTTTTCATGGTCATATTATTTAACATTTCCCAATTAGGTACATAATATTATATAGATAAGGTGTACGCGACAGGTTTTCGATAACAATGGATTAGCATTGATTCTTTGGAAAAAAAAATGTATAATCTTTTGATAAAATGTACAATGAACACTGCGGTCAATTGTAGTGGTGTAGACTGTAGTGGCTAAATTATTATGAACAAGTCAACTTGATTAACACTGAATTCAGAAATTGTTATAGAATTCAATGTATACATAACTGATAACTATTATGTATTGTACAGATTACTCAGACGGGCTATCGAGAAAAAAATCCTTGACCTGGACATCCATGAACTAGACCATAATAATAATAATAGTAACAATAAATAATAATATGATCAATACCAGTGCCATCGATGAACCGTGCTTAACTATGCTAAAAACAAAAACTCAACTAAACTAAAACCAACACTATGACAATAATATACCTACTGTAATTGTGCAGTTTGTTTTTTATGTGCGTTAAATTTTAATTTAAAAAAAGTGTTGTGCATAAAAAAAAAATAATTACATCTCACTATGAGTTGCATTGAAATAATTACAAGTCAATAAATTATTATTATCTATCGATAGCGTTCATCTATATGTTATAAGTATACTGGTCGGACCTAGATGAGTCACTGAAATCAGTAATCACAAGACATTATAGATTTTATTCCGGTTATCAAATTTGACATTCGCGTTTATATATTAAAAATAATATAGCCATTAAACGAAACAAACCGGTGTTTTAAAGTATGAATAATTGTGCCTCTGCGGTTTTTGTTCATTTGGGTCTAACCCGACGGCCGAATTATAGTTACTATAATTTTGAACGAGCCGGTTTGGCGGGCGTCGATTCGCGCCGTTGCGTTGGCGACATTGTCGTGAATCGTTTTATGTTGGCAATGCGGTTCCGGTCCGCGGGTAATGTCACGATTAAGGGTGTGCTCCTTATCAGTAAAAAAAACCATAATAATGTTATCACAGAATAACCCACAACGGTTTGGCGCATGCCGGTAGCCTTGGCCCGGTGTGCACGACCGTGTGACTACGACACGATAGTACTAAAAAATATTATGTTATTATTGTACCCAGGCCTCTGGGTTGGTTTCCCGGGGGTTGTGGGATCGTTATTAAGGCAAGAGTAGCAACTCTGCGCCACCGAAATAGATGTATAATATACTTTCTGTACCGTGGACGGTGGAGACAGAGCCGGTCGTCAGTGGGTGCTCCATATTATAATTTTTTATAGTAATAATTAAACCGTATACACCGACAATACGCGGTTTACAGAGAGTGCAACAGCCAACAACTGCTGAATGCTGTTGCCAACAACAGGCTACGCGTATAACCCGATCGTCGGAGCTCGTGGTCGGTCGTCGGTCGGGCCCCGTCGGCGTCCCGTGTCAAATCGCCCGTGCGTCGTTGATTTTTTTGCGGTTATTATTCAGCAGTCTCCGCCCTCGGCAAACCACCACCACCGCCGCCTCCGCTATATAATAATTGTATAATATATTATTTTAAACGACGACGACACGATAATTTTCATAATACCTCTGTATAACACACTGCTGTTATTTTTTATTTTTATTTTTTTTTCTTCATAATACCGCCGTTTACCGCTTTTGCGAACGGCGCGCCCGCGCCAATGTCTGTCTCTGGGCCGCGTGCAGTGGCCATTATCGCAATGACCTCCGCCGCCGGTCGGACGGAACTCGTGATGTTCTCGTGAGGTTTTTTTTGCGTTAAATAATACAAATATTATTCTTGTATTTTTTCATTTGCAAAAAAAAATTCCATTTCGTTTTTGCCCGGCAAAATAACAACTGCCCCCTCGTCGTCGACCGATCGCGTCTGTACCGTTTACCACCGATATTACCACCTACACTCCTCGCTAGGTACCTCTACTGGGTGTGTTATACTATATTTTATAACGAGAAAAAAACCAACATATCAAAAAAACCATGGCCGTCAACGGATGCGGTGGCGAAGGGATTCGTGTTGCTGCGGGCAAGGCCAACAAAGTGACGGTGGTTTTGGGCGCTCAATGGGGCGACGAAGGCAAAGGAAAGGTGGTCGACATGCTCGCTACGAACGCGGATCTCGTGTGCCGCTGTCAGGTAACAATAAATTATTATCGACCCTTCCGTGTTGGAATGGCATTTACCTATGTGAAAATATCAACTCTACCAAAGTAGAATATACCTATTATATCAAAGCAATAAACGTGTTTGACGAAAAACGATAACTCGTAGAGAGTCGGTTGGATTTTGATAATTTTTTTCGAAACGAGAAGAATTTTTGACTAGGAATTGGCCGATACCGCTTTTTACCGATATACGATACTATAGCGATGGGAATCCGAAAATACGGATTTTTCAAAAAATCTTATAAACATTAAATACTATTACAATATTAAGATGTGTACCTAAATGAAATTTGTTGATAACAATTTAAAAAAAAAACCTAACTTTGTCTATAAAATGCTATTGGTGATTTTTGTTTTATTTTTACATATTTATCAAAACAATTTTACTTAGGTAACGCAGCTTTATATTGTAAAATTATTTAACACATATGATTTTTAAATAGCGTTTTTTTTTTTGTGAAAATCCTGATTTTCAGATTCCCATCACTATTCCAATAGGTATTCCGATATAATATTATAAAATCAACTTTTTCTGGCAAAAACCATCAAACTATAACACAAATCGATATTACACATTACCTACCATTGATTATTATTTTATATTCATTTAGAGTTAATAATTCACAGCTTATACCCAATGATACTAGGATCACCATCGTTTACGTGTTGTTTGCAAATAAATTATAAATAAAATATTTTTTTGGTATCTGCTTTCTAAAACAAAAAAAACCAATAGGTAGGTACCACCAATATCGAGTATCGGTGTATGTATCGGCCCAACTCTACTTATAACAGTCCTCTTACGGCCATGATTTTCAATAATTTAACTATATATCTACCTACGTCATAATAAGAGTTTGAAAATAACTCTATTTAACATATTTTTTTTCTAATTGGATTTTTGTAATAAAATCAAAAATTAAATCACTATCGTAATATATTCCTAAGAAATCTTTCTTTTTCAAAAAAAAAAAAAATCCGATTATTCTATAGTTTTGCCGGAATGTCTTTTTGGTAATACTTAAATGTCTAATACCTACAACTTGACAATAGTTTGTGACTGCAATTTTCAGCACTGGATCCCTTAACCCTTTCAGGGCTATCGACACAGTATAATATACACATTATATTAACTCGTAACTGGTACACTGATAAGAAGTTTTATGAGGTATACATTGATAAGCGGTGTGTTACAGGTTAGATAAAATGTTATCAATATGTCGATGATAATGTTTTACGATAAGTATAATATTATACTGTTTTGTATGTTTTCTAAAATAAAATGTGCTCAATGTATCAATTTAAACTCGAATAGGGAAGTTGCACAAAACGTAGTTTATATTTTTTATCCATACAGTATTATGTAAATATAAGTTACGCGCTAACAATTATACAGAATATAAATTTTTGGCTGATTTTTTTAATTTTTAAAGTTATTATTATTCTTTTTAGTCAAGTAAGTTTTTTTTTCTTAAAATATACACTGCTACCTGTTGGTACTTTGTACCTAACGGCTAACAGTGGATGCTTACATCTGTCGAGTTCCTGTGCATAGATTCTACCAAAACACCATCAACAAACTCGAGAGCTGCCCCAATGTCACCATTTTTCAGTCTCCACTAAAGATAATATACCTATATTGTTAATTGCACTAGGCTAAAAAAAAATAATAATTATCTTGTGCCAAAATTCAAGATTTTGGCTTTGAGCCTCCTTAGCTTGAAATTTTTATTTTTACTATTACCCTGTTCAACCTGGGTTTTATTTATACACACACACAATATACTTTTTTTACTATAACAATGTCAATAGCTGTCATTGAAAATTTGTCACGACCAAACTTTCGAAGCCAATTTTGTAAACCGTGTCACTAGGCTACTGTGTGTCCTCAGCCTTGATTTGAATACGACAGGTACCTTGGTACGGTGCGTAACAAACAAATATTTATTTCCCTTTTGTTGATTCGTTGTGTTTACATTGTATGTATGCACTGGGAGATTGCAACTCAGCCAGTATCTCTTATAATTAATTTTTTTTTTTTTTTTGCTATTATTTATATATAAATACTATGTTTTTAAATTAATTGGCAAAGCTTTCAGACCTTTTATTTGATTTTTGGCAAAACTTATTATTTAATTTAAACGGAATGGTGTGTGACTAATATCAAAACAACAATTTTTAATTATCAGTATAATCCTTTTTTTTTTTAAATAAAAATAAAAACTTTTTATTTATAGAAAAGGAATTTTTTACATATTTATTCTACACAAAAATGTTAAATCGTAAATAATGAAAATTTGGGTAAAAAAAGGTTAACTTTTAATAGAAGAAAATGACCTTAAAATCTTAACTAATTTACAAAATGTCTTTTATATTGTCTATTAATAAAAAGTAATCAGTAAATATTATAAAATTTGAGTCATAAAGCATTAACGTTTAACAGAAGTTAATGACCTTAACTTTCCAGCGGGCGTGCTGTTTGCAATAACATGAGTAATCACGTGTTTTATAATTTACAATAGTACTAAAGATAGTGATAATCATACATCCAATTAATTTGTATTAAATACTAATGTATTTACTGTACCTTGGACCTTAATTTAATAATAGGCTGTAATAAAATAAAAAACAATGTATACACACAAAATATGTATACAAAGATAACAATCTTAGTGAAAAAAAATTGATGATTACAAAGCTGTTGTATTATTTACAACAGCTTGCCCGCCCGTAGGATGATTGGAAACTTTAACTAGCTTACAAAATGTACTTTAACCTAATCATTTAAAAATGCAAAACAACATGAAACATTTTTTTCATTAGAAAAAAGAAATCACCTTAATTAATTAGCAATATAATACACATAATTATCAAAACAGTTCAAAACAATTATTATTCTATTAAAATGAAAACATAATCTTTTCACAAATTACAATTAAAAATTGTCTTAAAAAAAAAATATCAAATAGGTAAAATATTTATTTGATAAGTTTGTAGTATGAGACGTTTTTGTGAAATAATGGATAAGGGGAAAGCTAATGGAACTGTCAGGAAGTCTACAAATAAATGAAAAAAAAAAATTAGAATCTTAATTGGGTTGGAAAAAAGGCTACTTCTTAGGTAAATCAATCACTCTGTATGTATAATATTAATATATATACACATAAATATATAAATGTACATGAATTTGATACTGATATTGTTAGTTGTAAATTGTCTGGCCCAATATCATTATCGAGTCTAGTTATTATTGGATGATTTTTTTTTTTATGAGTTATGGTTATTAATTGCACGCATAACATTTTACACAAATTATATCTTAAATTTATTAATGTAATTTTCAATGCTATCTTGAAAATTTTTTTTAAGAATAATTATAATATTTGTTCTATCATCACATTTACAAATGACAACATTACAAAATGTAGGTAGACTTATTATTATAACTAATGGATCTCCGTTCTCCTCAAATGCTAATGGTTGTGCAACGAAAGAGAGAGAAAAAATATATAATTAATTATTATTATTATTATTTAAATTTATCATCTGTTTTTTTCTTTTTTTTTTTTAGGGTGGAAACAATGCGGGTCATACAGTTGTGGTGGACAACAAGGAATTTGATTTTCACTTATTACCCAGTGGCATAATCAACCCTAATTGCAAATCTATTATTGGTAAGGAACTTATATCAAAAAATTTGTTGAACATCTGATCTGATTTCTTCATGTTACATTTATATAGATCATAGATTGTACTTAAAAGGTACTTTATTTGGCTAAACATTTAAAAAAATCCTCTCCAATTGATATTGAGAAAAACGCCCCAAAAAGTTTACATATTTTTAATCTTAAAACTACAGTGCACAATTACTTTTTTAATAATAGTCATTATTTCCATAACTGTATGGAATATTCTTTAGATAATTTACTAATGATAAACGTTGACAAACCAAAAAAAATGTATTGCTCCTAAGAGAGATTTCTCTATTACAATTTTTTTGAGAACATTTTTAAAACTTGGTCTGAAAATTAAACTGAAAGTCTAAAATGCAGTTACACATATGATTCTTTCAAAAATACGAAAATCTACTAAATTACTATTGTTATTAAAAAAAGTGTTATACGTATTAACTACAGTGTACAAATAAGTAAAAAAAGAAGAGTCAATCAAAATTTTCACGTTGAGTTACAATGTTTACATGCTTTATGTTATAAGTATTTTTGTTATTAATTTTTTTTATTTTTGTTGTTTCTTTTACATAGAAAAAGTTAAAAGTCCACAATAGGTCTCCTTAGTATAATTTTTGGACTAAAAGTCTATGTAAACTATGGCTACTGAAATTGCATAAAAGAAAACATTTCTTTCCCTATATAGATGGAAAGAGTAAATTCGATTTTTTTGGGTTCACTGGTAGTATACCCCGCAAAGGTTTGGAAGTAATTAGATTATTTTTCCAAAAGCTTAAAGCGTGCCATAATTTCAACTCGATAAAATGTGCAAAATGTTGTCAGGTTTTTCTCGATTTTAAAGGGATAAACTTTTTTAATTTTTAGGCTTTAAGTACACCTTTTGGCTAAGATTTTTGAAAAAATTCATTTTTAACTGTCAAACAGGTAATGGCGTAGTAATTCACCTTCCCGGATTATTCGAAGAATGCATAAAAAACGAAAAGAAAGGACTAGTGGACTGGAAGAAGAGACTGTTGATCTCGGATCGTGCTCATCTAGTATTCGATTTTCATCAGGTATGTATTTTTTTTGTATTCCCAACCGTAATTGAAAAATAAATACAAACTTGTAATATAAACTTGTTCTGTTATGATAACGATTAATGGAGATTTTCATTTTTATTTTCAAGCAAGTGGACGGACTCCAAGAAATGGAAAAGGGTAAAAAGTCTTTGGGAACAACGAAGAAAGGTATCGGACCAACTTACGCTTCTAAAGCTACCAGAAATGGTCTTAGATTGGCTGATTTGCTTGGCGATTTTAATACGTTTAAAGAAAAGTTAGTATTGAAAAAAGCCATTATGATAAATGAATACTTTTTTTATTTATATTATCACATTTTTGCTCTATACAGTATAAACAGCTATTCTTATTTGTTTTTAAATTTCACAATAAATCACTGGTCCGTTTCACAAACGTTTGAAAAAATAATTGGTAATTGCTATTGTGTCCATCGAAACAACATAATAAAAACAAATGTTCATCTACAAATCAACCAATATTTTTTACTGTGGAAACAATCTCCGGTCTAGTTTTATTTAGAATGAAAATATTTTTACTAATAAACTCAAGTATTGGGAATCTAAGTCTGATGAGAGTTTTTATCATAATCATTATTACTTTATCAAATTACATTTTTTAAGACTTTACCTATTTAGAATGTACGGTAAAAAATAAAATTCATTAAACCCTATTGTGTCCAGATGAAGTAGAATTTTTTAAAACTTTTATATAAGGAGCAATTTTCTAAACTAAAAAACAATTGAATTCCAAGTTTTAAGATTTGTATTTAAATAAAAAAATCTAGAAACGAAATTAGTTTCTTAGGAGAAACTAAAAAGAGAACTAGTTAAATTCTACTGACCTAGAATGAGATCTGATTAAAGATTTTTTTTTTTTTCTAAGGAACTACCAAACACGGCTAAGTTTCCGGCTTGTTCGTAGTAGGGCAAAGTAAATGCCTCGATTTCAGTTTTAAAGGAAATTTGCATTAATTATAAATGTGCTTTACTTTTTATCTTTTTGATGAACGCCCTTTTGATGTTTGATTTTACGATACTGCAATATTATAATACTTAACTATTGTACGGCAATTATGAATTATTTAAATTTTATTCCGTATGATCTTTTGGCTTTTTTTGTGTACTAATAAACATTGAACATTTCTGTGTAGGTTTTACAATTTGGTCGAGATACATCAAAGGATGTTCCCGAGCTTAGTAGTGCATCCCGAAGAAGAATTGAAGAAATACGAGTACTACGCCAACGAATTACGACCGTTGGTAGTCGAGACGGTCGGTTATTTGCATACGGCTTTGAAAGACGGAAAACGCATATTAGTAGAAGGTGCCAACGCGGCTATGTTGGATATCGATTTCGGTTGTTATGAATTTTTTTTTTTTTTAAACAATTATTTTTCAAAGTTAATAATATTACGCTGACTTACATAATATTTTTTCGACTTATTAGGTACTTACCCGTATGTAACGTCATCAAATTGTAGCATAGGAGGTGTTTGTACAGGACTTGGTTTGCCGCCGTCGGCGATCGGCGACGTTATCGGAGTAGTTAAAGCGTACACAACCAGAGTTGGTGACGGTCCGTTTCCAACCGAATTGACAGACGTGAGTGTGGTTTTTCTCCCTGGATTAAATTTTATTAATACTGGAAAAGTTTTTCTTAGTGTGTGAGAAGCGATTGACAATTTATCGTAATTGTTCATTTTTTCTTTGAATACAATTTCGAACGAAACCTCAACCGACTAATAAATCTTCTAATTTTCATATTATAATGCTCGTTAAAATTCCAGCTACACATTTCACTTAATTAGTTAATTAGCGATAACACTTTCATGACCGAATTAAAAATTGACACTTAAGGCTGTAGAGTGACCAGATTTATTAAATTTTAAAAAAACGGTACTCGCAATTTTGTTCAAACTAAATAAAAACCTCCCATAAAAAAATGTTAAATCATTTTTGGTATATTTTGATAATAGTTAATATTTTTTTGTACTTTTACTTTTTAAATGATAAACGCAAATAAAAATAAATAAATAAACAATTTAGTTAGTTAAGTAATGTATACATGGTATATTATTTAACAAAATTAATATTTAAAAACAATGATTTATTTTAACTAAACACAATATTTTTTCTTGTTTTAAGTTTTGAAAATTTGTAAACTGTGAGACTTATCAATGTATGACCCTTACTACTTCATCTTGAATACATAATATAGATGATGAGTATTAGTTGGCCAATGATGACTGTTAATAGTTTTTCACATTTTGTCTGTAAAGGACCTTTCTCCGCTTGCTTTTGAGTGTACCATACGTAGATATATTTTTAAAGGCAGTATTAGTTTTAGGAAAGGTTGTTTTAAATGATGGACAGTTGTGAGGTATTTTAACATTTGTAAATCTTCTTTATATTTACTAAGTTTCATTTTTTACGTAGATAAATCAATTAATTATATTCTTGTTTATTTAAACACATTCATAATAGGAATAAATGTTCCGTTCTTCATTATGTCTTTATTATAACTATAATTTCACCACCAGGAGGTCATACCTAAAATTAATAATTTAAAAATACATCTTATTTGGCGATAATACAATTTATTAGAAAAAAATACCTAATGTAATATCTTAAAAAACAAAAATAGAAATATTTCTCTTTTGTTCCTAGTAATAACTTAAATGTTATTTGAAAACAAAAATTAATTATTGTATTTTATCAATAGGAAATTGGCGAAAAACTTCAGACGATTGGCCACGAAATCGGTGTTACGACCAAACGTAAAAGGCGTTGCGGATGGTTGGATATTCCACTACTGAGATATACTTCGATGGTCAACGGATATACTAAGTACGTCGTTATTATATTGTAATCATTTTACTGGTAAAAACCTAATTGCTGTACTTAAAAAAAAAACCAATTAAAAACAAAAAAACATTTAAATTAAATGTTGTAGTAACGGTATTAACGTTATCATTATTATTATTGTTTAACAATGTAATTATTTTAATGAAATTCCATTTAATTTTTCCACTCACAGAATATGTTTGACTAAGCTCGATATATTGGACGAATTTGACGAAGTGAATATTGGAATCGAATACGTGTTGAACGGAAAGAAGCTCAACTATTATCCGTCCAGTTTGACCGAACTGTCAGCTATCAAAGTGCGTACATAAAAAAAACTACTCGTCCGTCAGTGTGTGTGTAATTGGTTATTTGTTCTTTTAGGTTAATTACTTGACTTTGCCCGGTTGGAAAGCCAATATTGGTGGTATAAGATGCTTTAACGACTTACCCGAAAACGCCAAACAGTTTGTTTTCACGATCACAAAACTCCTCGAAGTCCCAGGTGATTATTTTTCAATTATTATAACCTGCACGGTAATGTAACATTACCGAACCAAGAACGGCTTATGCTTAAAAAGGTTGTTCTGATCGTGGTTTAATTTGTATTACAATTATATATATTTTTTTTCCAGTTAAATGGGTCGGAGTCGGTCAAGGCAGAGAATCGATGATAAATGTTGACTAATATTTAGTTTATATTATTTTTTTTTTTATTACTCACTCAAAAGTGTATTCATTGGATTGTTATTAATTATTATTTTACTTTCAAAGCACAAACTTCATTTTTTGTAAGTACGCGGTGTAGACTACAGAACGGGTTTATTTTCATTATTACACGTTCAATTTGTATCGGCGACGTAAACACGTTTATCGACATTGTGCCAATGTTGATTAAAACTTTTTTTTTATTCATAAGAAACAATACAAGCACACATTTGTACTGTCGCGAGCATTTGCTGTAAAAACTATATTTATTGTAAAATGTCTTGAACATTAAATATATTATTACCTATATAATATATATACATAAAGAAAAAAAACAGAAATCATGTGCTTACCTTATATGGCATTCGTAAAGTTTGTGGACTCGGAGTTTGTTTTCGATCACTTCCAAAATATATTGTTTCGTTATGTTAAATTTTACTTGTACAAACTGATTGTTTGTGTTGTCACTCGATAGCGGCTTTACTCGATTTTACAGCTATTCATCGATCAAGTATAATAAAAATATTTAGCCGACTGTTTGCTCGGCATTTTATTTTACGTTACGGTGACGCTGTTTGAATACATTTTTAAAATTTCATTATGAAAAATAATTAAAAATGAAATTAAATATTATGTATTTACTCTGAGCTTTTATAGTTTTTTTATTTGTTTATCAGTAATACTTGCAAATTCCTTACAAAATATCAGTATAACCTGTATATGTATACTTATTACGGAGGGAACAAAGAACTTGGGGCAGGATTGGAAAACTGGATTCATCCAAAGTCTGTGACAATTATTATGTAAATATAATATCTATACAATGCGTGTATCCCAAAAAAAATATCATTTCTGGCTAAAAGACAATAATATATATAGAAAAAGATTCAGCTTTAGTTTGACAATTTTGTTGTTTTTTTTAACGAGTTGGGTCAGTTCTTCTAAAAAATGATAACGCGTTGTTAGGAACAAATGTTACACGAGTTATAATTTAATATTATTTGTTTTACAATAATAGTTATTTTATTAAAATTTCCCACTAATGTTTTCTATATTACTATTTAAATAAAACATTATTTTAACTTGTTACCTAAATTAGTTGACGATATCAGAATTTGGGTGTCGGGTATAAATTAGTTTTACCGCATCTCACGTATTATGTAATTTAGATAAAATATACAGGTAGGAGCTTATGACGTTTGTCATCAATCTTGTCTTTCAGAAGATGTATTATTAACATAATTTGCTATACCTAAAAGATATTATATTAGAGCAAGGAAAACGGCACATATAAAACACATATTTAATTTCCAAAGTGAATCTATTGCCGGATAAAGACTTGTGAAGAGAAAACAATTCGTTGGACAACAGCCCCTTTTGCATGGGATATTGTTTTTTTTTTATGAAAAAATTGGGAATGATTTATATTATAATAAAAATAGTTACAGTAACAGCAGAAGTAGAACCTAAAAAAAAGAAACATGCTAGCTTTTAATCACAATTAATAATTACATTAAAATACAATAAAACAAAAGTGTACACATTTATTACTTATTTCTACTACAACTGATAGGTCTCTGATTCAACATTAAAAATAATTGAGTAGTACCTACACATAAAGTGAAACATACAACAGCTGTGTTATACATATAATACAACTGTGTACCCAACTTTTTTTAAATTCTTTATTAATAGATTTTTTTTTTTAATTAATAGGTAATGTAACAATACTCAAAATGTACACAATATAAAATTAATATTATGGGACGGTCTATTTTGCTGAACTGTATGTTCGGTTGCCTATATCCAGGGACATATGTACTGAACTACTAAAATTCGCTAATCTGCTGGACTGTACACCGGGTTGCCTATATTAAGGGGCAAATAATATATTCTATTATTATGTTTTCTTATACTGTTATATTATTTTATATGTAATGCGTGTAATATATTTCAAACCTTTTTATTTGATACGCATCTAGACGTTTTATCTGTAGTATAGTTCAAACAAATAATTACATAAAAATGCATTCCAATAAAATATTAACTGAAACGGCAAATAAAAATGTATTTGATGCTCCCCATTCAGTTCTAGAAGTTAGAACACATATGCTTCTAACTGGAAAATCATTGAGAGGGCTTCTCATCATTACTGAGAGACATCGAGATGAAAATCTCCTTTTACGCTAAACATAATATTGTATACCTATAGGTATTTGTGTATCAGTGCAAGATTTACCGCCTTTTTTTAGTTTATTAATAACAAAACTGCTGTTTGACTATCATTGTAAAGTCATGACTATTTTTTTTTTTTGGTCAATATTCATGACTTTGAATAGAAATTATATCCATGTATCTCAAAAAACTGTCAAAAACTACATCTATATACTAATGCATTTCTAAATAATAACATTATAAAAATATAAATACAGTATACTAAATAAATACTTTGAATCTAATTATTTAATATAAAAATTAAAAATTTTTTCCAAGCAAAGATGAAGTGCTTTTTAATACATACGTATATTTTTAATAAAACAAATCTTTTTTCCCCTTTTAAACAAAGGATTTATTAACCAATATTCATGAAATTAAATAAAACATAATCTTAACCTGTCCGAAAAAATTTGGCAAATTTTTTTTTTATTCAATATAAATAAAAACATCATAATTAAAATAATAAATTATAAAACAGTTTTTATTGATAGTAAAACAATAAAATTTTGTTGGAAACAATTGCAGGTACCTGTTCTCAGAATCATTGTATGCCATTTCTAAACAAAAAGAATGAATACATATTAGTAGATATATTAGACATATTAGTAGACCATATGATATTTGTTAAACTATTATTAAAATCAATCTATTTGATACACTTATTCGAAAGATTTGCCCAATACGACTTTTTCTAAAAAATGCGTTTTACATACCCAAGGAACATACTGCATTAAGAAAACACAATTTTATTTCACTAGAAAAAAGGCCTATCTATTAAGTGTTATTTTATAAACCAAAGAAATGCTGTGGTCTGTAATTAATACCAGTGGCGTACTTACGGGGGGGGGGGTTCGGGTTCAAACCCCACCAGAGTCAAAAAAAAAAAAATGTGAATAAGTGATATATTTTAAGTGTTTATTGTATAATTGTTACAATGTTACTTCTCTGAAGTAATTTAGAACTTAAGTAAAAAAATATAATACATTTAATAATTATATTTTAATTATTAAGTGTTTAGTGTTTTGTACAGTTTTGACTTTTGTAAACTATTAAACGCATACCTTTTCTGATATTAAAAATACGAATTTACAATCATTTTATTTTATATACTCACCTAGTTATTTTACTGTGAACTGTTTGAGAAGATGTACACATAACTGATAACAGTTTTTTTAATTTTTTATTTACTGATAACACAATAATAACTATTGTGGAAATACATTTTCATTAATTAATATATATTATTAAAGATAATAGATAAAATAAACAAAATGTATAAATCAAAATCAAAATTATTTTTTGAAAGATTCAATTTGGAATTTACAATTTTATCAAAGATAAAAATATAAAATGTAATTTTGTACTTATAAATTAGGAAAAGGTGGGGACCTAAGCAGAATTAAAATATTTTCGGAACTATTAGTCCAGAACATTCGCTATTTCTTGAAATCGAACTATCGAGTTTTTTTCCGAAAAATATTCCAGCAAAATGCAAATCAATTAATTAATAATTATTTTTTGGTGGAAAAAAAGTTGTTTATAATTTTGGAACATCTTGTTAGGTAGTATTATTTTTTTACAACCCTCTCAGAGCAAAATTTAATGTACGCCACTGATTAATACAGTCTTAGAAAGTCAAACTTTGTACTTTTAAATGTATTAATAGTATCAAAGTTAATATTGCTTTCTATGTGACCGATCATGTTATTTCCATGTTAAATAAATATAACTTTCAATTAAAAACTTTGATTTAAAAGTTTGATTATAACAAAGGCCCAATTTTACCACTTTTAAAAGATTTCTCAGGCTAACTTGAAATTAAAAATTAACATTTTATAAAAATTAACCTAAAAAAAATAGTTTTTTTGTGTCTCCTGGAAAAAAAACCGAAATATAAAATTAGGCCCTTTGTTCTAATAAGCGTCTCATGTATTATTTACATGTTTGCGCTATTTTTACTGATGGAATTTGTTTTTTTTTCTTTGCTTACGATGGTCTCAGAACCAACGTTAATGGAGTTTACAAGTGTTATTGATCAAAATATTGTTGAGAATAAATTCTTTATCGGGCAATTTGCCAATGAAATGTTTGTAATATTCATGTATGTCAATAACAGTTTGTAATCTACTGATATTTAAAAATTAAAACAAAATAATACTCACATCCTCTGTTTCGTCTCACATATATTTTTCGCGGTACTTGCACACCTAGACGTAACTGAAACTATAAATAACAAGAGTTTTTTTAATCAAGTCTTTAGTAGGTACTTTTGGTATACTATAAAAAGTTAATTGGAAAACAGTTTTACATAATATTATCATTTTGCTGTTCAGCGGTCACTGATGCTGAGTTGGAAGTTGAATCCAAAATGCTCGGTGTATTGAAAAGTAAACCGAACATCGAATCTATTATATACATATATTGCTGCACCACTATAAGTGCCCAGTATTGCGGGTAAAGTTTTGTATATTAATTTAAAAAGGAAAATCGGACTTATCGCGACCATAATGACTATTAAAGAAAACAAATAATATCTAAGATAAAATTTACGAAGAGAGAGCGAGCCTCGTTTAATACTTTCTTAATTTTAACTTTTAACCATGGCAATTAGTCCAATCGAAGGTTTATGCGATATTTTATTTTTTTATCAAAAATTGTTTTTAATCTAAAAATTATCCAAAATTCAGCCCCATAGAGTACGCCCTACTATTACTAACGTCTTATCCAGCTTTTTGTCTTGGACACTTGGTGACGTCACATGTCTGAACAAATTAGTGGTTCGAAACTTATGGTCGCACGATCCAGTGTTACCAGTATGAGGGAAATATAAAATCACGGTGCACTGTTTAAAGGATACCGGCTACCTCTTCGCTATTACTACCACGGAATAAATGAAATCAAAATGTAAATAAAGACAGCCGCCATTTTTTCAGCGGAAAGACACAAAAGTATATAAAATACTAACTATATATGTATAGTCTTATATTCATTCTTTTATATATATATATAAGAATGAAAGAACAGCCACTGAAAAAATGGCCAAAAATCATAGATTTCCCATTTATTAATCAATGTTTCCATTCTGACCTCTACAACTTTTAGACTGTAACGGTCGTCAAAATGATCAGCATTTAAGCTGCCGACTGTAGTAAAAGAAATTACGATTTTATTATAAATCCCAACACAATCATTGATATTGTAATTGACATACATGTAATATATAACGAATGCATAATAATCAATATTATATGTTTAGAAAATATATAGTTAATATAGTCAATTAGTAATATTACAAAGATAATATTTTAACTTGTTCAACTACTGTAACCAAACTTCTTTACAAATTAAATTCTGTATATCTTCTGTTTTTGAGCACTTGTAATAAGTAATAACCTCAGAAGTTATTCGTATACTTTGTGCAACTTATCTA